CGGCACTCCCACAAGAGCGGTCTCACCATCCAATATCCTCCAAAGCCCGCTTGTATTTATCTAGAAAGGAAGGAGGTCGCGGACTTCTAAATATAGAGGAAGCATGTCGTAAGCAAGAGCTGGCGCTACGACGATATTTTCTTTCAAAAACTATAGGGATTTGCCTTACTATATGGATTCAGGTCTAACGGCACTCAATCTGAACAAAGCCGAAGATTTCACAGCTGTGTCCGAAAATGAAAGGCTGTCAGAATGGAAAAGCAAGGCAGACAAACATGGCAGACACTACAGCCAATTGAATGAAGCCTCCATAGACAAAGAAAAATCTGTGGAATGGTTAGCGGCAGGAAGGCTATTCTCTGAAACAGAAGGCTTTGTAGTCGCCATTCAAGATCAGGTCATTGCCACCAGGTCATATAAGAGGCACGTTCTTAAAGACACTACAACATCTGATAAATGTCGACTTTGTTCAACGACGTACGAATCAATCCAACATATCACAGCTGGATGAGGAGTACTCGCTGGTACGGAGTATTTACAGAAAAACAACGATGTGGCGAAAATATTCCACCAGACTCTGGCTATGAAACTTAACCTGTTGGATGAAAAGGTGCCATATTTCAAATATAATCCGATAAGGATGCCATAGTTTCCAGAACTAAAGAGGATCCTATTATTTATTTTAAAAAAACAGGGATCGAAACTTTTTGAATTAAAAAATAAACAGGAGCCCTCTATCTCTATCTTAATGGCTCTACAACCCTCAGTGGGTCCTGGCCTCCTCAATGATCTTCCGCCAAATTTCTCTATTCTGTGCCACCACTTTCCAGTTTCTGATTCCCAACAGGTCTCTAGCGCCACCTGCCCATCTCAGTTTCGGTCTGCCAGCTCTCCTCGTGTAGGTCTAATGTCTCGTCGAGCACTCTCGTCGGACACAAACCACTCCATCCGAGCTATGTGTCCAGCTCAACTCAGCCTTCCTTATTTTATTATTCTTGTTACATTAGGTTCACTAAACAATTCGTATTCCTCTCTATTTTTCCAAATACTCCAATCCTGCATCTTCTTTACAGGACCAAATATTCTTATTAGGATTTTCCTTTCAAAGACCAGCAGGTCTTTTTCGTCCTTTTTGGTTAAGATCCATGTTTGGCTACCGTAGGTAAGAACTGGGCGAATAAGCGTTTTATAGAGCTGCAGCTTCGTTCGTTTAATTCTCATTTGCTTAAGTAGGTCAAAATAGAATTGGTTGGCAGCTGTTATTCTCCGCTTTATTTTAAGTGGCGTCTCATTTTTTGTTGTAATTCGAGATCCCAGATAAGGGAACTGTTAGACATTCTCAAAGGTGTAAGTGCCTAGAGATATTCTTTGGTTTTGGGGGTTCACTCCTTCTTCTGTATACATGAATTTTGTTTTATTCTCATTAATGAGTAATAAATAATACTAATAATAAACAGGAGCTGTTTTAGTTTATCGAAGTGCACTTCATGACTTATTATCCAACTATAGTCACCATCTTATTATATTATAATAAGTTATAATATATAAAAGTCGATTAATAAAAATATTGTAATATTATACATATATATATATATATATATATATATATATATAAACACACATAAAATTACAAGTGCAGTCCTTTTTATTCATTTTTTTATATTTATTTACGGGCGGGCCCATATCTATAATAATCCGAGCAACATTTGCTGATGACACCACCATCCGATCATCCAACTCAGATCCCGAAATAGCATCTTTAATTCTTCAAAGACACCTCTCCCTGATTGAGTCCTGGTGTAATAAATGGCGCATCTAAGTAAACGAATCCAATTGGAAACACATTACATTCACGCTCCGGCACAGGTCCTGTCCACCAGTTCACTTTAATTCCATCCAGCTAGAGAACATTCACACTCCACTCATGATAAATAAAAATAAATAATACAGACAAATAATAATACTAAAAGTAAATGTACACCGACAGGCAAAAAATTCCACCCACTTGATTTTTCCATGTTTTCATCTAAAAATATTTCTGTAAAGTTGTATTTGTATATAATACATGGTATTTGTAGATAATACTTAGTATTTATGGAATTTTATAATCTTTTGTACCTTTAATAATAAAAATGTGATTGGGTAAGAAAGATTAGAGAAAAAAAAATTGGAAAACAAAACCATTATTATTCTAAAAGAAATTAATTACATCATCGTTTAGTAGCGCGTGTTTCCTCCTCTTGCCTTCACTACTTCTTGAAAACGACTCGGCATACTTTCCACCAGTCGGGAAATGTTGCTTTGCTGGAGGATAGTTTATTCCTCCCGAAGAGCCCTTTCAAGCTCCTGCAGTGTATCAGGAAGTGTTACACGCGCTCTTATTCGTCTTCCGAGGTTATCCCATAGATGCTCAATGGGGTTCAAAGCTGGAGAACGTGCTGGCCAGGCTAAAACCTCAATATTGTTCTGTTGAAGGAATTGTTCTGTCTGCACTAGGCGGGCGACATGTGGGCGTTCATTATCGTGCATTAGAATAAAACGATCGCCGATTTCGTTGAGGATAGGCAACACATGAGGTTCAAAAATCTCATCTACATAGCGAATGCCCGTCAAAGACCCTTCACGAAGAACAACCAATTCTATACGGCGCTCCATTGAAATTCCAGCCCACACGATTAAGGAACCACATTGGAAAGGTTGGCTCTGGGAAAAATTACAGGCTGCATATCTTTCGTTTCTTCTTCTCCACACCCTTCCACGCCCGTCTGGAAGTCGAAGAGCGGATCTTGACTCATCTGTAAAAAGTACAGCACTCCATTCGTCCATTGTCCAATGGCTGTGTTCTCGAGCAAAAGCCAGCCGTGTTACTCTGTGAGTTCTGGTCAACTCTGGTCCTCTTACTGGACGAAAAGCCATAAATCCATACTCATTTAATATTCTCCGAGCTCTTCAGAAATTTGCGCACCTCGAACTTCTTCGTGCTGATTAATCGCTTGAACAACGGCACGTTTCGTAAAATTCTCTAGTGTCAAAAACCGGTCATCCCGTGGTTCTGTTACCCTAGGCCGTTCAGAACCGGGCCTTCTATTGTAAGAACCAGTTTCTCGAAAACGCCTAACGCCGTTTCGTAAAGTTTCATATGGAACTCCGATGGCATTAGTTGCATATCTAATGAAACGTCCATCATCAATAAGTGCTACACCACGCGCAAAATCCTCAGCACTAATAGGCATGTTTTAAACTTCATATTGAAAAAATTAAAAGCCGAAGACTAAGAAATGTGCTGCAAGAAACGGCACTGAATTAATGATACTGAATAAACATTTCGATTCTATAGAAAGTAAACATTGGAATCTAAAATCATTCCATTGAATTAAGGATTAAGGGATATTGTCCTCTATATTAACATTCCTAATTGAAAACAAACAAAAAGATTATTTATTTATTCATTAAAAATAATAGACCAATCCAAAGTAGAAATATTTTTAGATGAAAACATGAAAAAATCAAGTGGGTGGAATTTTTTGCCTGTCAGTGTATATAAATTAAACTAAACAAAAGAAACTAAGCTAATGAAGATAACTACTCAAATACACACATGCTTCCATACAATATCTAAAAAAAAGAGCATTACCTATCATCCAAATCCCCTTCCAAAATCCCCATCGGTCACCAACCATCCCTACAATTCCCCTCGAAGGTTGAAACGGCAGTGGCCCCAATACCTTTTGTGAATAAGTATATACGGGAGTTTTGGCAATGGCCAAGTTCATCACTCAAGCCATGTATGTGTGATTATAGCGCCTCTGCTCAGCCTCTACCGGTATTTAATACCAGTAACGCGGCTGAGTGGGGGGCGTTTGAGTGAATACATTTTTTTTTTTTTTTAGATGTTGTATAGGTTATTTTCATTAGCTTAGTTTCATTTGTTTAGTTTAGTTTATATACATTTACTTTTAGCATTGTTATTTTTTTGTATTATTGATTGTGAATGGAGTGTGAATGTTCTCTAGCTAGATGGAATTAAAGTGAACTGGTGGAAAGGACCTGTGCCGGAGCGTGAAGTTAATGTGTTTCCATTTGGATTCGTTTACTTTGATGCGCCATTTATTACACCAGTACTCAATCAGGGATAGGTGTCTTTGCAGATTTAAAGATGCTATTTCAGGATCTGAGTTGGATGTTCGGATGGTGGTATCATCAGCAAATGTTGCTAGTAAGGTATCGGGATGAACAGGGAGGGTATCAGCGGTAAAAAAGTTATAAATAACGGAGCCCAAGACGCTACCTTGAGGAAAACTGGCTTCAACTGGGTAGGAATTGGAAAATTCTGTACCACAGCAAACTCGAAAGGTGCGATCTGAGAGGAAGGAGCGGAGGATTAGGTACAAAGACTGGGGTAGACGGGTTTTCAGCTTGGGAAGAAGCATGGCGTGCCATTTCCTATCAAAAGCTTGAGCTATATCAAGAAATGCAACTGAGCAATATTGCTTGGTTTACAGTGCTGCGGAAATATGATCGACCACTCGGAGTCCCTGTTGGACTGTGGAGTGTTGTGAACGAAATTCGAAGTGATGGGATGAATGATTTTGGGATTCTATAAAGGGTAGGGTTCGTTTCAGGAGGACCTTTTCAAAGATTTTTAAGAGGATTGGTCTGTAGAACGTGGATGTGTTGGGAGGTTTGCTGGTTTCAGAAATATGATAATAATGGAATGTTTCCACAAAAGAGGTAAGTGGTTGGTTCTTGGGATGGTATTGCTCAAGTAAGTGAGAAATATAACGGGTTTAGGAGGAAGTTTTTGGAGGATTTGAAAGGTAAGGAGCTTGTATTCAGTAGATTTACGGAGAGGATAATTAAAACCAGTAGTATAATTAAAAGCACCATTCAATGTAAATAATTCCATTACAACACCTTAGCATTATATGAAACGTTAAAATTTGATTTTATTTACTTCCAAATAAGAATTATTAATACAATAAATTTATGGTTTTATACAGGAAGAACTGCCAGAAGCAAAAATTAAGATTTTCCCTGGCTTTAATACTTCAATTCTTCAATATGAAGACCACATTATGATGTGCCTGGATGTTTCTCATAAAGTCTTAAGGACTGATACTGTTTTGGAATTCTTTAATGAATGTTGTCGAAGATATGGCGTTGATGAAGGAACAGTAGGTATATTTTTCTAATTATTTAGTTCATTCACATATTTAACTAGTATTTTTTTTTAAATTTTATTTATCTTCAGTTTTGACGTATGAGATGTTGAACGCAAATTTGGTGTAATTCAAAAACTTATTCACCACTTCATAGTCCAGTCAAGGAATGAGGTATTGAGTTCGTGAGTAAGCAATTCCTTCAGACTTATTCAGGGTGCATAGGGTGTGAACATATCAAAAGTACTGACGTCTATGTGGTGAGCCGGATGGAGGGGAGGGGAAAGGTCACGATTTTAGGATTTTCACTTATATCTCGAAAACGGATTTTTTTTTTTACTTTATATTCTATGCTGCAACTTTTATATTATCTTGATTACATTTAAGAACAAATGTTAATGCAATAATTTAATTGTCCAAACAATTATAATTGTTTATTTACTTTCTATATTCGATACTGCAACGTTTTATACGGTCTCTTCTACTGCAGAAATATTTATATTATATTTAATTATTACTGAATTAAATTTTGTTATTATAATTGTTTGATCACGGTAATTTGGTGTGAGCCAAATATTACCCATTGACCTATAAGTGAGTAATAGTGGGCTGGTTGTTGTAATAATTTGTGTGGACTGTATTAGGTTGGATCAATGAAATTTATAAATTTATAATTTATATCATGTATAAATTCAACAAGTGATTTAAGAAATTGTTATATTGGATGTTATGAATACAAAAAAAATATATATATATATTTGTGCCCTTGGACAATTTTGTTTATCTTGAAAGATGAAGTAAATATTGCTGATGGTGAAATTACAATTTTTTAGTATGGCATTGCAAAATTTTGCTTCAAGCTGAAATGGTATGGTTAATTTAGACTCACTTGATGTCTGAAATTGAGCTTCATTTCTGGTCTCCTCTTTTCCCTCCCATATTTGTTCCACCAGGCTGTTTTCTTGGGATTTAGCAACTCATTTTTTTCTATGAAAAGTTTGGGTCAAATAAAATGAGAATGTGCACACTTTACCAATGACTGGGATTAACTGAATAGAAAAACTTTACATCAAAATGGAGGCTCAAGATGGTGGTGAAGTCCAGGATTATAGAGAACTGTTTTCTTCTTTTTTTTGTGTTTTAGAGATTAATCCCTGGACAATTATTATATCTTTTTTTACAATAGAGACCGTCTAAAACGTTCTAGTATATTAGGATATTGAAAAACAAATTTTTTTTGGACAATTAATTTATTGCATTAATATTTGTTCTTAAATATAATGAAAATAACATACCAATAACATTATTGTAGTATATAAAAATGCCATTTATGAGTATTAGATGATGTGGTAGAAGAGCGCCTCATGTGAATAATTTTTACATATTTGAAATGGTTCATGTTTATATGTTTCAATCAGACCATTCAGCATCAATAAAATATCAATTATGATTAAATTAAACCAAATGCTGAATCTCAGTGACCGAAAAACAAACTCAAGTCAAAGTCGTCAACCGCCTACAAAATAAAATTAAATTATCATGAATATTTCTGCTATGTAAGAAATACAATATTAAAATTTTCAAGTAACATGATTTTTTTTCTAGTTTATTTAATAATTGGATTTAAAATGTGGCCACACATACCGTTAGACAAACGAACAAAAGTTATAGCTCAAGAATATGATAAACTTTTTAAAGCTCAAAAAATGAAAATCTACGAAAAAGTCTAAAATACCTGTAACTGTAGACTGGTTGAAAATTATTGTGCATATGTGTATATGCAGGGTGTCTAAGGGTTAAGTGGCCAAACTGAAAATATGAACCAAGGAACCTAACCTAACAAGAAAAAAAAATCCTATGAAGGTATGTCCGCAAACGCTTTGTTTAGAACATATTCACACCTAAAGATTTTCGTTTTTTTTCGAGCATTAAGACAGGCTCGGCATCTTTCTTCAACAGCAGAATTCGCAGAATGGTACTAGATATGTATTGTTTCACAAGATTCAATTATCCCTCTTCGTAAGAAATTAAGTCATTGACCGGACATTTTGTTTAATGTCACCCCAAACAAAAAAATGGTATGGTGTCAGGTCTGAAGAGCGTGCATGCCAAGCCACTGGTCCTGTACGGCCAATCCATTTATTGGGATAATTAACATTTAACCATTGTCTTGGACCTCTCCCGTAATGTGCAGGACAGCCATCTAAGTGAAGCCACATGTTCCTTCTCAGTTGTAGTGGAATATGTTCAACTAAATCATAGTAATCATTATTAAATTTCCAGAAATATGCCCGCATTTAGTCGAGGCGTCACCTATTAAATGTTCATGTTTATATTTAATTAATAAGGTAGTTAGAAAAAATAACTATGTTTTATTTATTTCATACGTAAATAATTCATAACAACGAAAATATTTAGGTGTGAATATCTCCTATACAAAGCGTTTGCGGACATTTTTTTCTTGCTTTGAGGTTCTTTGTTCATATTTTCAGTTTGGCTACTTAACCCTGAAACACCCGGTTTATACATTAATATATTAATGTATATTTATTTTTTTATATTTAAAAATTGACTTATTTGAAGATGAACGGAACTTTTTCCAAACAAAACTAGACCACTCCAAACTTTAAAAAGCCGACGTTTGTCGGCCGGAAGTGGATGCATTCGTGCGCCAGACGCGCGTCAGAATCCAACTGTTTTGCATAAAAATTTGAATTATGTGAAGATGGTTGGAACCTTTTCTAGACAAAAGTAGTGCGACGGAAGGATAAAAAATAAACGTAATCTGCCAACCGGAAGTGGATGCGTTCTGTCGGCAGACGCGATTTAAGTTGGTCAGCAGAAACATTTTTATTCCTAAATTTGGCTTATTCCGAAATAGTTTAAACCTATCTTGCATAAAACAAGACAACCAAAGGACCATAAAAAGATATTTGCCAACCGGAAGTGGTCGCGTTTCGCCGGTAGACGTAGGTTAGTGAAGAACCATCCGTTTTCCTTCAAAGTTTCATGATGGAAGAAATCTTTTATAAATAAAACTACTGAACTAAATCCGACTATTAGCAATTAATGGGATAATTTTAATTCTGTATTACACATCCATACCTGATAATATCATATTTCTCACCCACTTTTGTTCCTCTCATACATTTCAGAATGAATTCATCTTAACAAGAGTAACATTTCCACCCCAATAATGCCAAACGAATGTTTATCTTTAAGCTGCATGGGATCAAATTCATTGGAAAGGTAAAATCTAATTTATCAAGGTATACTATAAAACACAAAAAACATTTCTTTCCTGGTGGTATAAGAAAAAAAAAAAAATAAAAGTTGATTCCTAATATTGCCCTAAATATATTTTTTATTTCATTATTAGTAATTTTCTAAGTAAAAAAAAACAACATATTGCTTCAGTTGATGTAACACTTTCAGTATATCATAAACCAAAACAACGTAAATAAGCTTTGCAGTAGAACATATAAAAATATTTTAAAGAATATATCTTTGCAGCGAATAATCCGATTTCAACGATTTTTTTTTTAATATTACAGGAAATTCCACAAACTTTAAAATGACAATAGAACATCAACTAAAAACTGTATTCTTTACGAGTTATTCGGAAGTTTCATTTTACGACCCCTCGTAACTTTATGTTTCGTAACGCTTTAGGGAGGCGAGTTTGACTTTGTAATTTTTTTTAGGTATCTGGGTGGAATACTTTTATTTAGAAAAGATTTGAAGGAAAGCGGATTGTTTTTGACTAACCTATATCTACCTCAAATATTTTTTATGCTCCCTGGGTGGACTAGTTTTATTCAGTATAGGATTCAACTATTTTGAAATAAACCAAATTAAGAAATGAAAAAGTTTCTCACTGACCGATTTGGTGTTGAATCGCGTCTGCCGACAAAATGCATCGACTTCCGTTTGGCATACTACTTTTTTTTATTCCTGGGTGGACTAGGTTTGCTTGGAAAAGGTTCCAACCATCTTCAAATAAGTCAAGTTTTGATGCAAAAAAATTGGATTTTGACGCGCGTCTGCTGACGGGACGTATCCACTTTTGGTTGGCAGACTACGTATTTTTTGGTCCCTGAGTGGATTAGTTTTGTTTAGAAAAGTTCCAACCATCTTCGTATAAGTCATGTTTTGATGCAAAAAATTTCGTTTTTGACCTGCGTCTTCCCGACGAATACATCCACTTCTGACCGGCAGACGTCAGTTTTTAAAATTTGGAGTGGTCTAGTTTTGTTTGAAAAAGATTCCGTCCCTCTTCAAATAATGCACTTTTTCAGAAAATAGGACGACTTTGGTGACTCATAAAATTTTATTGCATCCTACGTAGACGCCCATTTGCAATCAATAGTTTCGTTTAGTTTTAGTTTGAATACAACGGAATCTACAGTCAAAAACTCTCTTCAAATGAGACCATCTTTTAGGCCTCAGATCCCCAACTATAAAGAGAGTTATTAAAGGTACAAAGGTGTAGTGGAAGGTTGGTGTAAAATCTACAAATGTGGTAGATTTGCTTATTTTGTTCCTTGTAAATAAACCTACGATTGTGATCATGAATTGCATCTTCAATTTTGCATTTTAATTTGTATATATCAATAAATGAATATTCATTTATATACACACACACACACAAACCCACCAATTATATATATATTTTTGAAATTTATTTATTTTTTTTTTTCGGTTGGCGCTACAGACCATGAAGATCTTTGACCGCGAGTGTGGTCTCCTAGACCACATTCCGATTCCCGTTTAAAGTACAGGGTAGGGTCATCAATGATTTGCCTCCAGTAGCTGGACAGGGCTCTCATATCCGGAGTAGGGGGAGAGGAATCTTGGGAGGCGTGGCTTTCCTTGGTGGACGGTCACCCATACAAGTGCTAACCACTCTCAGCGTTGCTTAACTTTGATTACCTAATGCAAGCGCCTTAGCCTGCAATGCTACCCCAGCCCCTATATATATATATATATATATATATATATATATATATATATATATATATATATATATATATATATATATAGTTTATTCCATTAAATTAATCAAAATATGCAACTAGATAAATTTATCTTCAAATATGCATTTATCCTCAAATATGGAAAATAAAATTTGGCTAATTGCATCACAGTGTAGTATTCCTAAAGATATTTGATGCGTATATAAAAATATAAAAATCACGCAAAAGCAATAAGCAAGGCTCTGGTTATTAGTTTACAAAATGTATTGAAATGGTTCTCTTGATATTTGTATTAGGTAATACTTATTTTTTTTTTTTTTAGGAGAAATTCACGGACACCGTACTTAAATCTATAGTTTTTACATTGTATAACAATAGACCTTATCAAGTTGATGGGATTTGTTTTGATAAATCACCTCGTGACTCATTTTCGTACAAAGGAAGTACTAAAACATACATTGCTTACTATGCAGAAGTAAGTATTTAAATAATTTATTTTTATGATTTGGATTAAATTGATTTCTACAATGACTAATCATGCTCTAGATCTCTGTCAAGATCATCTGCATTGGCACATTCTTACACATCTTCTATTAAAATACCTTTATCCTGGGGTTTCTATCCGGGGGCTTTAGAAGACCAGGGGTTTCGATCGCGTTTTAGTATCATTCTAATCTGGTATCCTTCATCCAGTTTTTCCTAAAACGATTTTCTCATAATATTTCAATGTTTTGAAGTTTTTCTTTTTTGATTGGGACATCAGAGGGTATTAATTTTTTATTCATCAGTTGAAGATTGCAATTGGAACTACAGATTGGCCTCTCTGCTCCAGTATCAATGTTATAGGCCTGTTTTCCTTTAACAACTACGTTTCCTAAATTAGTTTTCCGAAAAAATATTCGTCTGCATTTGGAATGGAATTGGGCTGCTGTTTTCACAATTTTTTATCTTCTTCTTTTTAATCAGATGCTACGCAATGTGCCTGATCAACTCTTAAGTGTTTCTATTGTTTTCGGCAGAAATGCACGTTTTAAGATTACCTTAATCCAAATAAACAAGTCTTGCAAAATTATCTATGTGTATGTGTCTGTGAACAGTCTAGCTCATAAACGAAAAGTTTCATTAAACTGAAATTGCGTATGGGTCATTTCATTCCAAATTATTCATCCAGAAAAAGTTCAATTTGTAACCTCAGATCTTAATGCAGATCTGTAAATATACGTGTAAGGAAAAATACCAAATTATACCCAATAATAACGATTAATTTCAGAATTATGAGCATTTAAACTTTTAAACTATTTTAAGTTGGGAAGACATTTTGAGCTAAAAACCAGCATGTACCTGGCATATTCTCCTTCGTAAAACAAATATTTAGATCAAGAGATTTCAAAATTTATTCATTTGTATTAAATTTAATAGTGAATATGTTGATAGCAAAAGTTTAAGAATTATAATTTTTCTTTATGTATAAAAAAATTCTTAAACATAAATGTTTATATTTGTGATTACCTGTAGCCACTAGCGGATCCAGGATTTAGTTGTTTTTTTTCATAAAAATAACGATAGTTACTTTGGAAAAACATTAAGGAACTACCTATATGAAATGGTGTTTAAGTGATTCCTTAAGTCCTTTCTAAATGTAATTACATGAACAATAATACTTTAAGAGGTATTTTAAATTTTTTTTCCATAAAACATGGTTATGTTTTACCATTTTGGGGAGGGGGGGAGGGCTTTAACCCGAAAGCCCCCGATGTAGATCCGCCCGTGCCTGTAGCTAAAATCCCTCTCCAAATACTCCAATACAACTATATATTAATGAAAACAGCATAAAATTCTCTACAAAATGTAAAAATAATATTAGCGAGAGTTGTTGCCCATTTTTCAGCGAAATCTCTTTGATTATTTACTGAATATAGTTGAAGTGTACACCAGAGCAGTTGTTATTTACAGTTTGCTACATTTTTTTTTTTTTTTTTTTTTTTTTTTTTAATTTTTTTTTTCTTCTCTTATGATATGCGGCATTGTCAGCCAGTGATGTCCAGTAAGGTGCCCACTAAGAGGACTCGGTCAGACGGAGTTAGTACCCCTCGTGATTCACCAGTGAAACAAAAAACTCGTCGCTGCCTGCGAGAAATTGCTCCAATAACCACAGTGAAAACTTCAGATACAGAACCTCAGCCTCAACCAGGTACCTCTTCGCAAGAAATGGTTGAAGAATCTCCTTTCTTCACTCCAAACCCGTTCCAAGTGCTTCATAATGACAGAGAAGTAATGGAGTCAGCAGCAGTACCCAGGGAACCAAGGCCTCCTCCGATATTTGTAAAAAATATCAAAAATTTTCAATTACTGTGTACACAGCTAAACGAAATCTGCTCCGGCAGTTATTCTTGCCTCAACAGGACTAACGACACAAAAATAACACCTGATACTGCAGAAGCCTACCGAAAAATTGTGAAGTACCTGTCAGAAACGAATGCAAATTTCCACACGTACCAGCTGAAACAGGAGAGATCGCTACGAGTGGTGGTAAGAAATTTACACTCCTCAACCCCAACTGAAGTGATAAAAGAAGAACTAGCGACGCTTGGTTTCAAAGTGCGTCAGGTAATCAACGTTCTGAAGGAGAATAAGGAGCAGCCAGGAGTGAGTAATAAAGTTCCACTACCTTTATTTTTGTGGATCTAGAGCCATCACCTGGCATTGAAAAAATATATGATATCAAGAGATTGTACTACACTATCGTGAAGATAGAGAAGCCATACCCCAAGAAGGAAATTTTGCAGTGCCACAATTGCCAGGCGTATGGCCACACGAAAACTTATTGCCACCATCTGCCGCGTTGCGTGAAATGCGGTGAACAGCACAAATCTGTGGAGTGCACCAAACCAATACAAGATCCTGCAGTGTGTGCACTATGCCAGGAGGGACACCCGGCCAACTACAAAGGCTGCCAAACCTATAAGAGCCTCAAATCCAGATACCAGAAGAACCGGATTCAAGATGAGACAACCAGACCAAGAAGAGAACCTTTTAGAATTGTTAACAATAATTTATCATACTCCGAACTACTTAGAGGTAAGAACCCCAATAATACATGTGAAGCCCTGCCGCAGCAACTACCTCAGCCCCAATCTCAATATTCTGTTCATCCTAACACACATAATCATCAACAACCTCAAATTCCTCATATTCCTCCCCCTTCAAATGCAACAGATCTCACTAGTTTGTTAGCATCTTTCCTAACCGATTTCAAATCCCTAGTCACTCCACTCATATCACTCCTTACAAATCTCGTATCTCACCTCATCCCTCCTTTGAAAAATCCTTAATGACCCACATCCCAAAACCCATGTCCATTCTCCTTTGGAATGCGAATGGTGTTAGAAATCACGTTGACGAACTAACAGCTTTACTACAAGACAAGAACATTGACGTAGCCCTAATTACAGAAACTCGACTGACCATAAAACAGCATTTAAAAATCCCACAGTATTTAACATACCGTACTGACCACCCTGATGGCAGAGCACATGCCGGCACTGCTGTCATCGTACACCAATCCCTCTCCCATCACTTACTCCCATTACCTACTCAAGATTTCCTACAGTCAACCGCTATTGTAATCAAAGCCTTCTCCTTTCCAGTCACCCTTGCATCAGCATATTGCCCTCCTAACAGATCCATATCCAAAGTCCAGTTCAGTTCTCTCCTCAACTCCTTAGGTCATCATTTCATCCTGGGTGCAGACTTAAATGCCAAGCATCAAGTTTGGGGTTCAAGAACCACGAATTCTCGTGGCAGAACATTTCTGTCTGCACTCAATACCCAACGTTTCAGTCTCCTTCCACCCAACTCACCTACCTACTGGCCCACAGCTCCTAACCGCAATCCCGATATCCTTGATTTTTTCATCCACAGTGGCTTAGGTTCCCTCAATCATTCCCTTACCCCTCTTGCCGAACTATCCTCAGATCATAGTCCATTATTACTCCAATTATCTCTAGCTCCTATTCCTAAGTCTTCTCCACCGTCCTTCATCAGAGGCCCAGTTAACTGGAAACTCTTTCACCAAATCCTTACCGATAAAATTGACCTCAGAATGACCCTGAAAACCCCAGATGACCTTGACAACACCGTACACTTTTTTACCACCACTATTTAACAAGCAATCTGGACTGCTTCCTCTCCAAACCACTCCTCAAGAACTCCTAAGAAAAATAAGTTACCTCAACACCTCATAGACCTAATCCATACCAAACGCCGTGCCAGATTATTATGGCAACGTACTAGACACCCCACCGATCGCCAATCCTATAATTATTTTTGCAAAAAACTAAAGATAGAATTGGCCACCTTCAGATCCCAATCCTTCAACTCCTACCTCACTTCCCTCTCTTCTCATGACAATTCCCTATGGAAGACCACCAAACATATCCTAAAACCCCATCATATATCACATCCTCTCCGTCGAGGTGATGGCTCTTGGGCAGCATCTGACGAAGATAGAGCCGAAGAATTCGCCAAACACCTTTCCCTTACATTCACCTCTCATCCAGAATCCAATCCCACCCACACGTCAGCAGTAGAGGAATTCCTTAATTCACCCATCCCACTCTCCTTACCTCCTAAAGCAGTTAATCCTTCTGAGGTCAAATTCCTCTTACAAAAACTACCTACCCGTAAATCACCTGGATACGACCTCCTTACCTCTCAGATCCTTAGACAACTCCCTCCTAAAGCTGTCATATTCCTTACATACATATACAATAGCATCCTACGAACCACCCACTTTCCTCTTTTGTGGAAACATTCCACTATTATCCTGTTTCCGTAACCAGGCAAACCTCCCAACACCTCAACGTCCTACAGACCAATTAGCCTTCTTCCGATTCTCTCAAAAATCTTTGAAAAGATCCTTCTGAAACGCATCCTACCCTTTATAGAATCCCAAACTCTTCCTTCCCATCAGTTCGGATTTCGTTCACAACACTCTACAGTCCAACAAGGACTCCGAGTGGTTGATCATATTTCCGCAGCATTGGAAAGCAAGCAATATTGCTCGGGTGCATTTCTGGACATAGCTCACGCTTTCGACCGGGTATGGCACGCCGGGCTTCTTTCCAAGCTGAAAAACTATCTTCCTCAGTCCTTGTACCTTGTTCTCCGTTCCTACCTCTCAGATCGTACCTTCCGAGTTCGTTGCGGTACTGAATTTTCGCATTGCTATCCAATTGAGGCAGGTGTTCCTCAAGGTAGCGTATTGGGTCCCGTCCTTTACATCCTCTTTACCGCCGATATCCCTGTCCATCCCGATACCTTCCTGGCAACTTTTGCTGATGACACCGCCATTCTATCATCCGACTCAGATCCCAACATAGCATCCTTAAATCTCCAAAACCACCTCACCTTGATTGAGCACTGGTGTAATAACTGGCGCATTAAAGTTAATGAATCTAAATGCCAACATATTAC